AAGGCTGAGCGCGTCCAGATGCCGAAAACTCCGTCTGCCTTGTCCTGGATACCCGCAGCCGCAGGAGCACACAGACTATGCCCGTGGTCTGTTGCCCGCAGCTCAAGGGCTCTGCCTTAGCACGCCCACGCTGGAGGGGTGGGGAGAGAGCCGCGAGAACTCCAATCCACTGAGATCCGGCGTCTCAGCCACCGGGAGCGAGCAAGCTGTCTCCGTTTTCACGCCCTCCTTCTCCTCCGATCAGCGATGCGCGCGGCCCGGGGATTCTGCCTTAGCGCGCGCGCCAGCAGGGTAGGGGGTGAGCAGTGATCGCTCTCCGATCTACTGAGAATCCCCGTCTCCGCCTCCGTGGGCGCGAGCAGTCGGCCTCCTCCCACGCGTCCTCCTCATAAACGCTTGGCGCGGCCCAATGACTCTGCCCTAGTGCGCGCCCGGGCTGGCGGACAGGCAGGGGAAGTTTCCAATCTGCGGAGCTCCGCGACTCAGAAGACCGGGCGCCGCCCGTGTCTCCACTCGCCTCGCCACCCAATTCCCGAACCCGCCGGGTCTGCCCACCTCTAAGTAGTCTGCGTGGGAGTCCCTTTGCTGCTCAGCGTGTCCCGCAGAGTTGTGTTTTCGCTGCCGTGGTTTGCGCGAGCTAATTCAGTGACTTCCTTACTGCGGCCATTTTAGTCCATAAAAATATGGTATTTTTAAATTGGGATTACATTGAATCTATAGATCCAATCTGGGGATAATTGATGCCTTTACAATAATGAGTGTTCCAATTCATGTACAAGTATCTGACAGGATACATGATATCTCTCTTCCTTTGTTTAGGTTTTCTGTGATGTTTCAAAAAGTTTTATAATATTCATGACAGAGGTCTGCTCCTTTTTGTCAAATTTATTTCTATGAATGTCATATTTTATGGTACTTTAAAAATGTTTCCTCTTTAAAAATTATTTTTGTATGTAAATGATATTTAGAAATTCAGTAAATACATTAATTTTTGTATTGAGAAGCCTCATTAAACTAATCTGTGAATATTTTTGGCATTATTTTTTGAATCTCTTATAAATTTTTAAACTGATCAACACAGTTTAATACACTCATTTCAATGTCTGCAACATCTTAGTAATCATCTCGGTAATTTTCAGCCTTTCTTCTTTTCTAATGTAAGCATTTAAGACTATAAAGCTTCCTCTAAATAATGTTTTAACATCATCCCACAAATTTAGATCTATGCTATTTTAGTACTGTTGAGTTTAAAAATGTCTACTTTCTATTACAGTTTCTCTTTTGACCCATGGATTATTTGGAAGTATTTGTTGATTTCCCAAGGATTTGAACTTTTTCTTGTTAATGATTTGTGTTTTCTTTCTAGCTTAATTGAACTGAAATCAGTGAATATACTTCATATTATTTCTGCCATTGGAAAAAACCTTTTCATTGAGATGTAATTCACATACCACATTCCTTTAGTTAGCCAAACTGCAAAGTTTAAAGACACAGTCCCCCAAACTGCCTAGACTTCTGATGCCAAATGCAAGTTTGGGGGGTTCCTAAAAGCACACTCAGGTTCATCAATTTGCTAGAAGTACTCAGAGGAAGCTGTTACAATGCTCACACTTACATTTTATTACAAGGAAAGGATACAGGTTAAAATCAGCCAAAGAAAGATACATAAGGTAGGGTCCAGGATGATTTCGAACACAAAACTTCCATTGGCTTCTCCTCATGGAGTCAGGATGTGTTGCCATTATGACATTGATGAGTGACAATATGCAGAGTAGATCCCTCAAAGCTTCATATCCTGAGTTTTTATTGGGGCTCCATTATAGAGGCATGACTGATTAATTGTTTGATGGCCCATGTGACAATTTCAGTCTCCAGGTGAATATATACTGCATGATCCAAAGCTCCCACCCTATAGCATACTGTTGGTCTTTCTGGCACAGCCAACCTTCATCCTATGACTATCAGGTGAGGCTGCTATCACCATATCTGGTATGGTAAGCCCCAAACCTAAACAAAGACACTCCTATATGGTATAACACAGTTTACCTCTTGGAAGACAAGGGCAAAGGCTAGACTTCCGTTTGCAAGGCCAATTTCTTTACTATACATCATAAACTTCACTCTTTTAAAGTGTACAGTTCAGTGGCTTTTAGTATACTCACCATATTGTGCAACCATAGAAACTGTCTAATTCTAGAACATTTTCATCACCCAAGAAGAAACTGTACCCATTAGCAGTCCTCACTTCTCCCTCATGCCTCCCCTGGGACGTCGGCAACCACTGATCTATCTCTGTCTCTATGGATTTGACTATTCCAGACATTTCACATAAATGGAATCATATAATATGAGTATGTGGCCTTTTATGTCTGGCTTCTTTTACTTAGTATAATGTTTTCAAGGTTCATCTATGTTGAAATATGTGTATTAGTACTTAATTCCTTTTTTTATGGCAGATTATTATTGCATTGTATGGATATATCACATTTTGTTCATCGGATGGTGGACATTTGGGTTGTTTCAACTTTTTTTACTACTATAAATAATGCTGCTATGAACATTCATGTATACGTTTTTGGGTACACATATTTTTCAGTTCTCTTGGGCAGATAACCAGCCATAAGGCCAGCTTCTTCCCAATGCCTTTTGGCCCATCAAGTCAAGACAGGCCCCCACAGGGCTGCACTTCCCTTACGGGTGGATAGACTCAAATTCCAGGCTCCCTGCTGTTAACATCTGGGTCCTGTGGCATCTGAGCTCTGAGGACAGTTAGGAAGCCTGCAGACTCAAATGATGGAGGTCTTATTTACCCAAACTATGATACTTTCAGATCATGGAAGGAAAAGAGAACTATCATGTCACCACAACTAAAGAATGGAAGAGCCATGATGGGCCATTGCTTCAGTCCAGAATCAAACAATGTCCCTACTGAGTGCTCCTGAAGGCCCCAAGGGAAGGGGAATTTTCTGTAGCCCAGACAGACCCTCTAGATTAAAAATAATTGATATGTCTTAGTTGGGGAGGTTGAAATCTATCTCCTTGTGATGTCCACCTTAGGGCCATACAGAACAGTCTGCTCACTATTAACCAGGTGGGCTCCTCAGAGGTCTGAAGTCAGAACTCATTGTCCTGAATGACCTTCTCTTCTATATACCCCTAAAATCTTCCCTTCAACTAAATGCAATCAATTCTTCCTGTTATAATGTCCAATTACTGAGCCTTATAAAGCACCTTATACTAAATCCCAAGAGGAAATAAATCAACATACCCCTCTCACAGACAAAAAAACCTGAACCTCAGATTGGCTTTAAAGATCTCTCCACTCAGTATCCAGATGCCATCACTTTTACACGAAATGCAAAATAAACCACCTACCGGCTTTGGTGGCTTTCCCACAGCCGCTTCAAGCCTTGGTCAGCCAAGCCTTCCAGAATAAGGAGGTGGATCTTCCCATCCAGCAGATGGAAGCCGGTGAGCACATCCAGGTCCTGCCTTTCCTGGATCTTCACCCGCATCTTAAAGGCTGACAGGATCTGTTGGATGTTCTTGTTAGGGTAGGAGTCCAGACCAAGGGCCTTGGCATTAATTGTGGTGATATCCTGAAGCAGACTGTATAGAAGGCAGATCTTCCTGGAGTCAAATACAAAAATGATGCGGCCAAACTGGGTCCTTGTGAGGCCTGGATCAGGGGTTTCTGCCCTGGTTTGCAGTGGCACTGCAATGTCCACTCGCAACTTGAGCAAGGAGTTGGCCTCTAGGTAGTTACCCATGGGCATTGGGCCATGATGAAGGCCATCTGTAGAGACCTGAAACCCTACAACCTTCCTGCTCCTGCTGTTCTGGCCTTGTTGTATGCACTTGGGCTCACAGCTGTGGATGGGGACAACCAGGTTCAAATTCTTGTGGCCGAGCAGGAGGTCAGCAAAACTGACCTGGGCGACCCCATAAGGGTCCCACATCTTGTTTTGGGATTCAAAGGGGTTGTTCTCTGTCTTTTTGGGAGAGATGAGGGCCTGGAAGTTGAGATATGAATCCAGAGGGTCCTCCCCAAACAGGATGGGCTTCTGGGAATACTCCTCTGACTTGCGGTCCCGATCATGAACTTCCACTACCATGGGAGGGCCCTCCAGGTATTCCCTCAGGTCACTGGGGTGAATTGCTCCAAGCAAGATGACATGAATGTCCTGGAAGGAGACATGGCTTCCATGAGGCTTCCCCTCAGTCTGGTGAACTGGAGTCTTATGGAACTGGTAACTGCAGTACACGGGAGTACACAGCCTCTATGAGAGAGCAAGGAGATATCAGGTCACTGAGCTGCAGTGTCTCCCCTCTAAAGGAAGGTCCCCAATAGAGGGGGCCCAAATACCATGGGTACCCCTTCCAGCATGGGTTTCCTTATCCACAAAATACTGATGAGAGAGGCTGCTCTGCCAGGTCATTCCCACCCAGGACTGGGTGACATATGTGAAAGCACCAAGATAATGGCTGGCACAAGAAAAGGGCTCAGTAAGTATTATTCACTATTTCTTCCTTCCAAACAGTGAGTGCCATGATGACAGGCCATGTGTCTTTTTCACATCTATATTTCTAGCTCTTATCCCAAGACTAGGCAAAGAAAAGGTGGACACAAGTAAACCATATTTTCCAGACATATATTTTGGGGGGCAGTTGGCACAAGCTCACCTTTAGCATATTAAGTATCCAAGCAGAAAACTGTGACAAGGGGAAGAAGAGTCAGAGAGGTTTGAGGCTTAAGAGGGCTTGGAAAATGAAATGGAAAAGAAGGCAGAGCTGTGTTGAGGCAGAAAACTGGGAACCTTGCATGTTTCAAGTTAACTGTTACACAAGTTTGTGGTCCAAATTCAAATTCAACATCAAATTTACACTGATGCTGAAAATTTATTTTGAAACATATCTGGGTTAGTAGCACTCCCAGGTACCTGGAAAAAATATTAAGAAACCTTTCTGAAATAATCCACTTTCAGGGCTGGCAGAGTGGCTCAGTGGCAGAGTGGCAGAGTGGTTAAGAGCATGAACTCTGAGCAACAGGGTCACCGGTTCGATTTTCACATGGGCCAGTGAGCTGCACCTGAGCTGAGCTGCTGCTGAGCTGCCAACAGGTGGCAGGATGGCTCATCTGGTGAGAGCATGTGCTCCTAACAACAAGGTTGCTTGTTGGACTCACGCATGGGATGGTGAGCTTCTCCAACCCGCAACTAAGATTGAACATGGCACCTTGAGCTGAGCAGCCGTGAGCTGCCAAAGGGTGGCTGGATGGTGACTGGACTTGGAGCTGAGCTAGCTGCGCCCTCCACAACTAAGGTTGAAGGACAACAACTTGGCTGTTCCCCTTCCCCAATTCCCCAATAAAATCTTTAAAAAACCAAAACCAACAGGGAGATGGCAGAAGAAAAATAGTAAACTTGAAGCTAGATCAATAGAAACTATGTAATCTAAACACACAGAGAAAAAAATTGAAAGTTGAAAAGTAAACAGAGCCTCAGGAACCCATGGGACAATATCAAAAAGTATAACATTTGTATCATCAGAGTCCCGGGAAGAGAGGAGAAAATATATTTGAGGAAATAATGTCTGAAGATTTCTCAATTTTGACATAAAGCTACAGATAAGCATACAATAAGGCATAAAGCTACAGATTCAAGAAACTCAGTCAGTCCCATCTGGATAAACTCAAAGAAATACATACACAGATACATCCTTATTGCTTGAAAGCAGCCAAAGAAAAATGATGTATTACTCCTAGGAGAACAAAAACTCAAATAACTGGATTTCTAATCAGAAACTATGGAGGCTATAATAGAGTAGAACAAAATTTTTATAGCGCTGAAAAAGAAAAGAACTTTCCACCCAGAATTCTAAATCTAGTGAAAATATACTTCAGGAATAAAGGTGGAATAAAGACATTTTCATATGAAAGAAAACTAGGAGAGAATTTGTTTCTAGCAGACATGCTATAAAAGGTTACTACTGTATGATTCCATTTATATGATAGTCTAGAAAAGGGAAAACTATAAGGGTGGAAAATGATCAGTGGTTTCCAGGTGCTAGAGGTGAGAGTAGAGTTTACTGGAAAGGGGCAGCATGAATGAGAGATTGGAGATTGCAAGGGGTAAAAGCAGAGTTCTGGAATGTTATAAGTAATGTTATATTTCCATGAGAAAATATTTTTAAAAACTTAATCTCCATCCCACTTCAAAAAAACAAAAAACAGGGCCGGCTGAGTGGCTCAGTTGGTTAAGAGCTCGCTCAAGAGTTTGAGCTCTGAGCAACAGCGGTTCGAGTCCAGCCCGAGCTGAGCAGCCGCTGAGCTGCCAACAGATAGCAGGATGGCTCAGCTATTAAAAAAAAACAGAAAAAAAACACCAAAAAACAAACAAACAAACAAAACTCAACAGAAAGGTTAAACAACAGATTAGAAAAAAATGAAACTAAAGATACAAATAAGTAGAAGGATATATTGTGCTCATGGTAGGAATAATTAATATTATTAAAATGCCCAGACTACCCAAAGCAATCTACAGATTCAGTGCAATCCCTACCAAAACACCAATGGCATTTTTCACAGAACCAGAACAAATAATCCTAAAATTCATATGGAACCACAAAAGACACACAATAGTCAAAGCAATCTTGAGAACAAAAAACAAAGTTGGAGGTGTCATGCTACCTGATATCAAACTATACTATTGTACAAGGCTACAATAACCGAAACAGCATAGTACTGGCATAAAAACAGATACATAGATCAATGGAATAGAATAGAGATCCCAGAAGTAAACCCATACCTATATGGTCAATTAATCTATGACAAAGGAGGCAAGAATATAAAATGAGGTAAAGACTTAAATGCAAGACCCCAAACTACAAAACTCCTAGAAAAGACAGGAAGTGAATTTTTTTACATCACTCCTAGCAATATATTTTTTGGATATGTCTCTTTGCACAAGGGAAACAAAGAAAAACTAAGTAAATGGGACTACACGAAACTCAAAAGGTTTTGCACAGTGAAGGAAATCATCAACAAATGTCAGTTTAGGGGCTGGCCGAGTGGCTCAGTTGGTTAAGAGTTGGCTTAAGAGCTCGAGCTCTGAGCAACAGGGCCACCGGTTCGATTCCCACATGGCCCAGTGATGCTGTGCCTGAGCTCAGCTGTCGCTGAGCTGCCAATAGGTGGAAGGATGGCTCAGTTGGTGTAACAACAAGATTGCCTGTTCGATGGTGGGCTATGCCTACTCACAACCAAGATTGAACTCGGCACCTTCAGCTGAGCTGCCGCCCAGATGGCTCAATGGATAGGGTGTGTGCTCTTGGCAACAAGTCTGCTGGTTCGACTCCACTTTGGGATGGTGGCTACGCCCATCTGCAACTAAGACTGAACACAGCACCTTGAGCTTAGAGGCCATGAGCTGCAGATGGGAAGCCAGATGGTGACTGGTGCCCTCCACAATGAAGATTGAAGAACAACAACTTGGCTGGTCTACAATTCCCCAACGCTGTTCCCCTTCCCCAATTCCCCAATAAAATCTTAACAAAACAAAACAAAACAAAAAACAAATTACAGTCTACTGAATGGGAGAACATATTCACCAATGATACATCCAAATGAGGGGTTAATATCGAAAATATATAAGAAGCTCATACAACTTAACACCAACCCCCCCCCAACAATCAGATTTAAAAATGGGCAGAGGACCTGAATAGAAATTTGTCCAAAGAGGACATACAGATGGCCAATAGGCATATGAAAACATGCTCAAGATGACTAATCATCAGAGAAATGCAAATTAAAACCACAATGAGATATCACCTCAAACCAGTTAGAATGGTTATCATCAACAAGACAAGTAATAACAAGTGTTGGAAAAACTGTGGAGAAAAAGAAACCCTTATACACTGTTGGTGGGAATGCAGATTGGTGCAGCCACTATAGAAGGCAGTGTAGAGGTTCTTCAAAAAATTAGGAATAGAATTACCATATGATCCAGCAATCTCTCTCCTGGGTATCTACCCCAAAATATCTGAAAACATTTATCCATAAAGGCATATGTGCTCTGATGTTCTTGCAGCTTTATTTATGGTGGCCAAGACATGGAAACAACAAAAGTGTCCTTTGATAGATGATTAGATAAAGAAGATGTGGTATATATACACAATGGAATATTATTCTGCCATAAGAAAAGATGAAATAGTGCTATTTGTGACAACATGGATGGATCTTGAGATTATTATTATTATTATTATTATTATTATTATTTTAATTGGGGAATTGGGGGGATGGGAACGTGCTGGGGAATTGGGGGAAGGGGAACAGACAAGTTGCTGTCGTTTTGTTCTTCAGTCTAGTTGTGGAGGACGCTGCTTCACTGGCCCAAGTTGGCACCATTATTGCGCTCTTCCCAGGCAGGGCAGATCAGTCGCCGGCTTCTGGACGGCTGCTCACTGCAGCTGCTGGCCGCTCACGCTGGCTGCTGGCTACACACGGTAGCCCATGGCAACCCACTGCAGCAGGGGCTGCAGCCTACGCTGTCACCGGCGACTCAGGGCAGCCCAGCTCCAGGTTGAGCTGTTCAGCATTTTAGCTGTGGAGGGCAGCGTCACTGGCCCTCATATGTGGGATCCGAACCGGGGCCCTCTGGCGTCCCAAGCCAGTTCTTAACCATCGCGCCACTCGGCCGGCCCTTGAGATTATTATGCTAAGCAAAATAAGTCAGACAGAAAAAGTGGAGAACCATATGATTTCACTGGTTCTCAAATAAAGAAACAAAAACTCATAGACACAGATAGTAGTTTAGTGGTTACCAGAGGGTAAGGGAGTAAGGGGTGATAGATGAGGGTAAAAGAGATAAAATACATGGTGAAGGAAGAATTGAGTCTGGGTGGTGAACACACAACATGATAATATAGGTGATATATTAAGTGTACAAAATTGTACACTTAAAACCTATGTAACTTTACTAACAATTGTCACCCTAATAAACTTTAATTTAAAAAAATTACAAAATAAAATTGGTTTACAAGAAAAAAGGAAAAGAAGTGATATCTATGTCTATATATCTATATATCATCTATCTATATCTATCTACATTTGTATCTATATCTATATCTCTATATCTATCTAAATCTATCTATATCTATATTTGTATCTATCTATCTATCTATCAATCTATACACACACACAATGGAATATTATTACTCCAGCCATAAAAAAGTATGAAATCGTAACACTTGCAACAACATGAGTGGACCTAGAGGGTATTAC